GAAAGCGACCAAGACCAATAAATCAATTTATAGGCCAAAATTACGGTTGCTTGTGTGTAATAAATATGTATAACTTACCAGTCATAAAAAGATCGTATATTAGCATAGAATTTAAATTAAGCGCCAATGCTTAAATACATGAAATCAGATAGGTTGTCTCTAATAAAAACTAGCATCATGAATTATTTCCTAGTAGTATTTAATTATATCAATTAGTAGACGTATTCCGAGTTTGCTATAAATTATAGCCTAATCTATGCATGCAATATAAAGTAATCAGGGAATTGATAGAGATACAAGTGGAAAAGCTATATTGAATGGCTTTATCACTGACCTAGGCTGAAGGATTCGTTAAAGGAGTTTATACTTGAAGGAAAATTAGAGTTATTATCCTCTTCAGCACTATGATTACGAAGAGTAAGCCTCAGAACCTTCTGCTGTCTTTCTTCTAGTCCAGTGTATTCAGATGCTTCTGAAGACTTCATCACCCCTGAGTTGGCAGTTGCTCGTGCGCTCACTCGAATTAAGCTGTTAACGCGCAATAAAATCGTAAATATTCCACTCTGTTTATTTGAGTTGCTGGCAGAACCGGCCTTTCTACCGAAGCATGTATTCTTAGTGGAATGTCCCAGATACAAAGCTGATACGTCATCATTAAGCAGATCAACAATTCCATTAACATGCACTATATCACCTGGTAGACAGCATCTCACAAGATCCCTATTCAAAAAACATGAGACACTGCAAGATGTACGACCTGCGCCTGATTGGAGTAGATGCGCGGATCCCGAATCTTCGTCTTCTTCCTCTTCGTTATACGTTGAATTGGGCTCATGATCAAGCTCTTGAATTGTGATGAGCTGACGAATAAAAAAGATACGAATTTCGAACAGTATGACGCAGCTAACAAAGACAATGAGTATGCTACGATGCAGAAAATATAGATGATTCGAAATAAAAGCTAACCTACGATTATAAAGACTAGTACAGAAAGAATGCTAACCGCGAACACTTGAGAGTGAATGTGCATATTAGGTATTGAGAATATTATAAAAACACTGAATGTCTGACCTGTGTGTCTATGGTTATTGTTCTCGGATCGTTTAGGAGTGGCTCAAAGCATTTTGAAAGGCACTTTTTAGTTGTACATTTAGTCGGAGCAGAATACCTTCCATCTTCCGACAAGCAGATTACCTGTGATGCATTGCATATTTCGCATACAAATGTTAAGAGTTTGCAAATTGGCTGAATCTAAGGTAAGAGTAGGGAATGAAGCGCATGAATAAATTAATAATTAAATTTAAGCATTTACTTACAGAAGATAGGTGGGAAACTATGCCTTTGATCGAAACAAATCGTCCAATATGATGAGCACGTAAACTTGCAATGGAACTCTCAGGAGAATAGTTGAAAATTCTGCTTGCAATATAGGTAGGGAGCTGATTCCATATACAATCCTTATTAGTTTCTAGAGATAATCGTAAAAATATAGCAAGTACCTTTCAATGAAAGAAAATCTTCATTCTTGTTCATCGAGTTGTAAACAACCGTGTGGAAAGCAAGGCCAACAGCGTAGATTAACATTAAGCAATGGCCATCATAGCGGGTTTCTTCTGTACTTATGTGTCCCAAATCTGTGTTTGCAATTGCTAAATCGTTACAAAAGCGTTGCTGGAAATCAGGAATGTGGAGAAGAATCGACGATGATCGTAAAAGAGCCATGAAATCAATAAGTACTGCTCCAGAGGCTACGATTCCAGACCAATCAACAGAATTTATATCAGGAAATGATGAATCGAAGCATTCCTTAACGAATTCCAGCATAACCTAGGAGTGCATCAATTCATGACAAAGAATCGCTATAAATATTTAACGAAATTTTTTTGGGTACGTGGTTTTTTGAAAGTGTATATGCATAGCTATGTATCTAAGGCTCTAAGTTAGAAATAGGTGGCGC